TTTCTCCCGCGGAGCGGCTGGTAGTTTCGAACCGCTGACCTTAAGGTTCGCAGCCCGATTCGTAACCACTATGCTACCAGAGCTCCTTGAAGATAGATCATGAAATGTTCTTTTTGATCGAATGTGATGCACTCTTCAGTTTGTTTTTTCCAGCACAGTAAATCATATGATTGTCAGATTCATAATGGCCAGCACTAATCTATTTCAACTCACAGATGCCTAGGCTATTGATCTTTATTAATTCCATTTCATTTTGGATAATTTCCAATTTTCCTAGCTTTATACTTCATACATTCCGTGTTCCATTTACTAATGGATGTTTACAGCTGTTTCTCCTTATTTTGTGTTGCGCCTCATCAGCAAATTAAGGTCCAGAGAAAGCTTTACTCTATTAGCATCATCATGGTCAACTTTAAGGAGGCAGCTTTCCCCTAGTCATATATTTAAGTGTCTTTCAACTTGGGATATCTTCCAAAAGATCTGACAATACTCTGGTGCTATTTTTGGAATCCTCTGTGAGTTAAAGCAATGGACTGCAAAGTCAGTTTGAACCTCAAGGTGGGCAGTTCAAGCTCACCAGCTGCACCTTGGAAACTCTGTACAGAGTCACTATGGGTCAGAACTGATTCGATGGCACTTAACAACAACAACAATTCATAGTGTTCCACCTTTTAGCACTATATCTGGCAATGTTCTGCTGCTGGTCATAAGGTTTTTAGTGGCTAAACAATCAGAGGTAGTCCATCGCTCCTTCCTAGTCTGTTTTAGTCTAGGTGAAACCTGTCCACCATGGATGACCCTGCTGGTATTTAAAATACCAGTGGCATTGCTTCCAACATCACAGCAACATGCAAGGCAAGCCATCACAGTACCATAAACTGACAGATGAGTTGTGGAAGCTGCAGGTGGCACTACTTTATTCAGGCCTTTATAGTATACTTCAATCTCTGTGAGCCATCTGCCTTTTTCCCCAGGCACAGATGACTGTTACACAGAGAATTTGTTGGTAAGGGAGATGCAACTACGTCATGTAAGATTTGATTAAATTTTCCAGTTCTCATACAAACATTCACCTTAGTCCCAGTAGACATTGCATACCATACCCCTTGAGTCTAATGTTGTTGTTGTTAGGTGCCATCAAGTCAGTACTGACTCATAGTGACCCTATGCATAACACAGTGAAACACTGATCAGTCCTGGCCAACTTCACAATTGTTGCCATGCTTGAGTCCATTGATACTGCCACTTTGCCAAACCATCTCGCTGGGGGTCTTCCTCTTTTTCTCTGACCCTCCACCTTACCAAACATGATATTCTTCTCCAATGACTGATCCCTCCTGACAATATGTCCAAAGTATGAGAGACGAAGTTTGGCCATCATGGCCTCCAAGGAGTACTCTGGTTGCACTCCTTCCAACACAGATGTGTTTTTTCTTTTGACAGTCCATGGTACTTCCAATATTCTCCTCCAACACCATATCTGAAAAGCATCTGTTTTTCTACAGTCTCCCTTATTCACTGTCCAGCTTTCGCATGCATATGAGGTTATTGAAAATACCATGGCTTGTCAGGCGCACCTTAGTCTTCAAGCTGACATCTTTGCTCTTCAACACTTTGAAAAGTTTTTGTGCAGCAGATTTGCCTAATGAATACATAATTTGATTTCTTGACTGCTGCTTCCCTGAGTGTTGATGGTTGATCCAAGAAGAATGAAGTCCTTGAGTCTAACCGTAAACACCTCTAATTATTTATTGACTGATTTTGGTATTACATACAGTACATTGGGTTCCTGTGTCCAGGAGTCCCAGGAAAGTCTGGGCTATTTTACCCATACATGTGCATATGGTCTTGGGGTCCCTTGTTTGGGGTTGAACCAGAAGATCCTGATCCCCTTGTCAATTCTGATCTTGATCAGGAAGCTGAGCCTCTGCTCCCAGTGCTCCCAGATGGCTAGAGTGAATAGAATGAACTTGCTTGGGCCTCTTTAGCATTGGGGGATCAGCAGAAATTTCTCTTGATCCACTCTGCCTCCTGTAGTTCTGTATTAGAACCTTTATATCATCTTCATCGATGTCTATTATACTTACCCCACATCTCAGTACCATCTAGAAAGCTCTATCGTACTGGGTGCATCCTGCCTCAATTGCTTCTCCCTCATTTTAGGTAGCCAATGTCTAAGTTGCCTGTCCCTATCAACCCTATATACAGAGAGGATAGGCTTGATCTTTGATGTGAAGGTTCCTTCCCTCTCAGTTGGTATTTTGAGCAACTACATCCATAAGCATAGGTAAAGTTCATCAAATTATAATTTGCATTCATTTCCTTTATCAAAAATTATTTTATTTATCTTCCTCTACTAGAGTTCTGATCATCAAGCCATCAAGGCTAGGTCGAATGAGTATTATCTACAACTTTGGGTGTTCTTGTACATTTCCCCTCACTTCATATCAGCTGGATGCTTCACTCTCAGCTCTAGCCCTCTGTGGCTATGTCCCTAACCATGGGCTCAGGAGTCCCCAGGTCTTATGACACTTCAGACCAACCAGCCCTTCCTCTTCTCTTTCTCATCTCCAGGTCGACAGGAGTCTATGGAATGTGGTCAACCTCAGCCCATATCTTAATTGTTGCCTTTCCCCCTCTTCTACTTACCAGCTGACCACCTTCCATCTTCTTTTGATGTTTTCTACATCGTTCAGTATTTTGCCTATTTTGTTGTTGTTGTTAAGAATAGAATCCTTCAATATAGCAACTTGAGGCTTTAATTTTTCCTTCAAGTTTTTCATCTTGAGAAATGCTGAATTTGTTCTTCCCTTTTGGTTTTCTAACTCCAAGTCTTTGCACATTTCATTATAATACTTGATTTTGTCTTCTGAGCTGATCTTTGAAATTTTCTGTTCAACTCTTTTACCTCCTTATTTCTTCCTTTTGATTTAACATATCTACACTAGAGAGCAAGTTTCAGAGTCTCTTATGACATCCATTTTGGTCTTTTCCTATTGTCTTCTTAATGACTTTTTGCTGTCTTCCTGCCTGATATTCTTGATGTCATCCCACAACTCTTCTAGTCTTTGATCATTAGTGTCTAATGCATCAAATCTGTTCTTCATGATCTCTAAATTCAAGTAGGATATGTTCAAGGTCATATTTTGGCTCTCCTGGACTTTTTTATTTTCTTCAGCCTCAGCATGAACTTGCAAATAAGCAACTGTTAGTCATTTCCACAGTCTGCCCCTGGCCTTATTTTGGCTGATGATATGGAGCATTTCCATCATTTCTTTCCACAGATGTAGTCAGTTTGATTTCTGTGTATTCCATCTGGTGAGGTCCATGTGTATAGTCAACTTTTATGTTGTTTAAAAAGGTATTTGCAATGAAGAAGTCATGTGATCTCCAGCATCATTTCTATCACCAAGGCCCTATTTTCCAACTACTGATCCTTCCTCTTTGTTTCCTACCTTTGCATTCTAATCACCAGTAGTTAGCCATACATCTTGAGTGCATGTTTGATCAATATCAGGCTGAAAAAGTTGGTAGAATTCTTCAATTTCCTCCTCACTGGCTTTAGTGGTTAGTATGCAAATGTGAATAATAGTGGTATTAACTGGTCTTCCTTGCAGACGTATGAATATTACCCTATCACAGACAGAGTTATACTTGGAAATAGATCTTGAAATGTTCTCTTTGATAATGAATGAGACACCATTCCTCTTCAAGTTGTCATTCCTGGTAATGACAAAGTAAATCATATGATTGTCAGATTCAAAATGGCCAATAGAAGTCCACTTAAGCTCACTAATGCATAGAATAACAATGGTTATGTGTTCCATTTCATTTTTGACAACTTTCAATTTTCCTAGATTCATACTTAGTGCATCCCATGGTCCAATTATAAACGGATGTTTACGGATGTTTCTCCTTGTTTTGTGTGTGCCCTTAAGCAAACAAGGTCCCAAAAGCTTTACTCCATTCATGCCATCAGTGTCAACTGTACTGTGAAAAGGCAGCTCTTCCCCAGTCATATTTGTAATGTCTTCAACCTGAGGGGCTTATCTTCTAGCACTATATCTGACAATATTCTGATGCTCTTCATCATGTTTTAATATTCAGTATTCTGGTGCTGCCTGAAAGTGTTCTGCTGCTATCCATAAGGTTTTCAATGGGTAAGCATTCAGAAGTAGTTTGCTTTCTCCTTCGTCCTACTGTTTCTTAGCCTGGAAGAACATCTGAAACCTACTCACCATGTATGTACCCTACAGGTACCCAATGGCATAGTTTAAAATACCAATGGCATAGCTTCCAGCATATTCTTCCATTTTATCCTGGTTGACATGGACAAAAACCAAATCCTGATTCCATTTCACCCTATCTGGTGCCCACAGGTCACAGCAAACCAAGGTCCCAGCACACCAGGAAATGGATGATTTGTGTCCCACTGAGGTTTCTGGAGAAAGTGAAGAAGACAGTACAGCCAAGGAGGAGGAGGAGACAGTCGTAGGGCCCATGTTTCTTCCCAAAGACAAATTAGCCCAGTCCCAGAAGAAAATTACAGTGCTGATTAAGGAAAAAATGGTATGACAAACAAAAATCTCATTGGGTTTTTATTTTGATTCACAAATAATGTCCATGATTGAAGAAGCTCCACCTTAGCTGCAGATTGAAGTGCATGAAGTAATGATGGGAGTGATTATGTGCCACTGAATTGGTTTTGACTCATATTGACCCTGTGTAGGGTTTTCAAGGCTGTAAATCTTTATGAGAGCAGAAAGCCTAATGTTTGTCCCATGGAACAGTTGGTAGATTTGAACTGCTGACCTTGCAGTTAGCAGCCCAGCTTGTAATCCACTATGCTACCAGGGCTCCTTCCCCGAAGCAGCTGTTGTTGTTAAGTGTTGTCGACTCTATTCCAATTCGACCCTGTATAGGGTTTACAAGGAGCAGCTGGTGAGCTTGAACCACCAACCTTGCAGTTCAAATGACTTTGCAGTCTGACGTATTAGCCCACAGCACCTAACCAGGACTCCTCCCTGAAGTAGTAGAAGAAGCTATTTGCCTTTGTTGTACAGTGGGAGAATACAAAGCAAAGCATAGGTAGAAGTCAAACCATCCGCCTTGAGGTCCCACACATGCTTCACTGGCATTCCTCCTTGGAGTGCTCTGCAGCTAGCTTTATGCTCAGAAATAGTTTTTGGGTCTTCCTTCTGTTTGATTCTTCTTGTTGTTAAGTACCGTGGAGTCAGTTCCAACTCATAGTGACCCTGTACAGGGTTTCTGAGGCTGCAAATCTTTATGGGAGTAGAAAGCCTCATCTTTCTCCCGCAGAACTGCTGGTAGTTTCAAACTGCCAACCTTGAGGTTAGCAGCCCGATTCATAACCACTACGCTACCAGAGCCTTTCAATAAAAAAAAAATAACATATACATATATACCCCCTCTTGAAAGATTTTGTTACTCAATACATTTTGAGTAACTACATCTAGAGCCATCCTGTGTTTGCATTCCTTTCTGTGTCTGATTTACCGTTTTGTAAGATTCAACTAAGAAGGGATCTTGAGGCAGGGGACTGAGAACAAGGGTATCCAGGTAGAGATTGGGGCCCCGGCTTAATAAGGATACAGGAAAGATACCTGTGGTTACAGCGGAAGAGTGAACTAACCAAAGGGCTAGAAACTGGTGTTAGCTGCAGAGGTTGGAGAGTCCCAGCATGCTTCTCTAGGAGTGAGTCGAACTTGGGAACTAGGAACTCAGAACAAAAGTATAAGCAAGAGTATTCAAAATCCAAGAGTCAGACAGCACAGTACCTCCCCTCAAGACTTTGGACGCCCCCAATCCAATGATTTTGTATTTCATGGTATGGTGCTGCATCTTCTAAATAGAATTTAGTTGTTACTCTGGTCATTAAAAATTTGTATGAACTAGTGGCTTTGAAAACATCGCAGGAAATGTCACTTTAACATGGCTTGCTTCCATCTATTTGAGCAGGTAGCAGGTTAGGTGGGAGGATAGGGGTCATGAGGGAGCAATGCTTGGACCCACGCTAGGCACTACTGTCCCTGCACCACTCTTAAGGTTACATTTAGATAGCACTTAACAAGTTCAGATTACTTGGATGCTGACTCATTTTTCTCTTCACAATAATTCTATGAGTTACGATACGATAGATTTCTAAATCTCCAAAAATGAAGCTAAGGCTCAGGGTGATCTTTCCGACAGCAATATATCTGTAAACATTTGAACCAGGGCTGAAAGTCCAGACTTTTGATTCCTTGACATGATTGTTTTTGCCTCAGCAAGAAATAAATGTATGGCTGTGCCTATTGGTGCAGCCAGCAGAAGACTGTTTTTTGTTTTTTGTTTTTAAGCTTTTATTGTGAATTTAGTGATCATTTTCATGGGAGAACATCAGTTTTGCACTAATCCTGTCATATTTTGTTTCATTACAATGATTACAATCCGTTAACAACATGTGATATGCAAATAATACAACCAGAGGGCACAGTCAGCCTGGTGAACTGGACAAAATTTGCAGTAAGATCTCTTTACCCTGAGCAGGGAAACTACTCCTCTCCCTCTTGAAATACTCGATGGAGCACTCCAGAGGAAGCAGTTAATGTGCTGTTTATGGAAGCAGTGTTGGAATGGTTTTATGGTGACCATGATGTCCATCCAATGAGCATGCTCCTTACACAGGTCATGGTAGATATGGTAATCAAGGGAACCCTTTCTGCATGGGCATTCCAGGTAACCTTACTATGAACCAAAGCAACAATCCAAGAAGCCATGTCAAATTTTTGGCAAAACTTCCCTGAATGGGTTGTTATTGTTTGTTTGTTCGTTGCTTTTTTTCTTTTTTAAGTTTTTATTGTGAATTGAATGATAGTTTACATGAGAGAACATCAGTTTTACACTCATCATTTCATTGCAATGATTACAATCTCCTCTGTGCATCATTATTCAAAAGTATTTGCTTCCATCCCTTCTGTTTTTGTTTTGTTTTGTTTTTTATGTACACAAAAACACTCAGAATTATACAATAATATAAACAACCAAAGAGCACATTCTGCAAGCCTGCCTCCTGGCCACCAGCATACATCCTTTCTCTTTCCATGAGTGTAGAGTCCTCAATTGCTCTATCTCTCCATGTCATCATCTTTGCCTCCATCTCCAGTGTTGCTGCTTCTCTGGTTAGGGTCCCACATTCCTTTCATGCTCCTCTCCCTTAATGGTCCTAGGGTTTTCTGTTCCTGGAATTTAAGATTAACTACTCTTCCCTTTATGTTACAAAACTTCTACTTTTACAGTAGTGACCATTGCAATTAGTCATGATAAAAATTACTGACTATTGAATCAAAAGATTGCTATCAGAGGTGGGACATTCCCACTAGAAAGGATAAGCAGACCAGCCTGGAACAGCTAGAGCAACAGAAGATCTATCTTCAAAGAAAGATCATCAGGAAAAACCCCAAACAAAAATGGCAGTAGGATTGGCTACTACAGAATAAGTAAGTTGTTTGCCAGGAAGCCATCAAGGCAAGCAATCAAGTCCCTTCAGGACAAACCCCCTCTAAGACTGAAACTCAAAGGGAACACATTAGCAGGCATGTAAGCTTTCTGGCAACCACATTGATCTACTGATGAGTGGAATAGGGTGAGAGGCAGCAATGAAAAAATGGGCTGAGTTCAACCACAATCCATAGACTCCCGTTGACCTGGAGATGAAAGAGAGAAGAAGAAGGGCTGGTTGGTCCAAAGAGTGGTAAGACCTGGGGACACCTGAGCCCATAGAAAAGGACATAGCCACAGAGGGCTAAAGGTGAGAGTGAAGCATCCAGCTGATACGAAGGGAGGGGAGACACATAAGAACACCCAAAGTTGCAGATAGTACCCGTCTGACCTAGGATCAATG